CTTTCCCTAAAAGTCTCCTTAAAAAATTGTCAAGTTCATGCTAAGTAATTTCACTTGCTTTAGACAAAAAGATCAGGGGAAATAAGTTCCTCATTGGGCTTTTCACAGTTCTGATTTTGTAGTGATTGAGCATGGGCAGCAAAAGAACCATCGCTCACAAGAGTTATATTACAGTGATAAGTAGTTCTGACTTGATTGAATTGTAGCCTGTATAAAATTGCACTTTGCTTACCAGAATATATTTTGTACTGACACCACATTAAATTCACAGAATTTGAAAACGTGATAGGCTGTATCTACGTGATAGGCTGTTGATGTATCTACATGTATCTACCTTATTTGTTCAGGGACAAATTTGTAATGAAAGTGATGTGTGAATTAATTCAGTAATCCTGGTTGATTATTACTTTGCAAGGTGAAGGCTTCAGACTTTAAAGTCTGCCTCTGTGGTGCTCGATTTTTCCAACACCCTTCTCATGTGAGTCAGGCCTTGTGAATAATTCTGCAGTGTGAAGATGCAGGTTTATTTCTTACCCTTTTCACAAAGCAGCAACTTCACAATTTTCGTTTTAAAACCAATCTGAATTAGGAGCATAATGAAGTTAAGTCCTAAAAGGTCAAGATATGATGCTCACTTATACATTAATTTCCCAGTATGTTCTTCACTTATGTGATCTCATTATTTAATAGTTATAGCAGAAATTTTTCTGTGAACATGATAGATGTCTATACTGCTTCTAGTTTGTGAAAACTATTTAATGTGGTAAATGCATTAGTGTTTATCCTATTAGTGTCACGTTAGAGATGTGAAGCTGTCATTCTGTGGGAAGAGCATGCTTTCCTGAGGTTTTACATAGTAATATAAAATAGCAGTATATGGTTTTCTTTAGCAAACAAATTGACTAGGGGAGCAGGGTGGAATGTGTGATTTTCAGCAACTCTTTTGAGTTTATAAATTGGTCTCTTCAATGGGGTGCACATAGACTTATTGGAGACCTAGTGAACAAATATCTCTGGGTTTGAAAGCTCTTTTGCTGGGCTGCTTTTGGAACTGAAGGGAAAAGCCTGATTATTTGGATGTGGTTTATTCTTTCTCCCTTGATCTCCCCCTACATCTGGGTTTGCAGGAGGGATTGGCTCGGGACATGAACCTACAACCAACTCAGGTCTACAATTGGTTTGCAAATTATCGACGACGTCAAAAATCCTGCCTCCCTCCTACGGAAAAGTTCAACAACTCATATCCTGAGGGGGCTTTGACTTGTCACACAAAGGAGCAGCAGGATAAAGGATCCTACACTCCACAAACTGCAGGTTTGTTTTTTCCTAATGGGCTTAGGATGTGGTCCAGAAAGCTGAAAACAATTTTAAATTCCCTCAGGAAGGGAAAGATGTTCCTTCTCCAGAACAGCATCTATATGCTGGTGGATCAAGTGGACATTGGAGGTGTCTGCTTCAGTGCAGTGCCTCCACTCTGTTTGGCCAGAGGCTGTCACTCCATAGAAGGAACAAGCATTGATAAAGCCTGTGCAAGGACAGGTGAAAAGAGATGCCCATCTCAGAAGGGGCACCAAATGAAAGCAAATAGGCAGCAGGTTTTAGCTCTCAGATTTTTGGATCGGGATGGTACTCCAGTAAAACCTAGTATTTCCATGCCCCTTCCCAGAATCTTGACCAAACTTCAGTCACAGGGAATAAGAGGGTCTTGCTGCATTTGGCAAAGTAGACTTGTTTCATTGCTTTTTTGGAGTAACTATTAGTGTTCATTCACCTGCCCGGCCTGCACCTTTCAGATGGATCTTGTGTAGGCATCAGCTCTGAGCAAATGGAGATAACCCTAATGCCCTGTGACCCAGGGTGGGAGCAGTCAGCTGCAGATCTGGATAAGCCTCCTGAAGGAACTTATTTAAAGATGCTGGAGTCCAGGTGATGTATGAAAAAGTATTTACAGTGATAGTTGAGAGATGAAGCAACCTTTAAACTTGTTCATAGAACTGATTTTCATGTCAGTTCCCAGGGGACATCACTCAGGAGTCATGACTCCATGGATGGTAATGGTCCATGCCCAGCATCAGGCAGTCGGAGCATCTAGCAGTTACTCTCCCAGCTGTCAAGGGCAGGATTCAAAGGTTTAGCTGAGGGATCCCCCCTCCTTGCAAAGCAGTATGTCTGGCTGATTTGTTTTCTCCATCATTACAGCTTTATCCAGAGCAGTGAGCTGTATGAAGCGAGGACAAGCAAAGCTTTGTTGACCACTCACAACACTGAACAACCCGTAGCTTTTTATACCGAGGCTATGCTGGAACCAGGAACCTGCTTTAACCCTGCTGTCCTGCAGCCCAGAGCAGTAGCAAGCAGTACTGATGCCAGCCCGCAGCTGGATAACTTTGTCCTGTGCTCTTGTGGGTCCCTTACCTTCCCAGATGAACAGCTGGCCATGTGGCAGGCCCCTTCAAGCACCGGAGGAGTCTCTGGCTGGACCCCAGTTATAGAAGGTTAGTAAACTGTACCTAGATCATTGACCTTGGGAGTTTTCAAGCTTCTCCTCCCTTTTGTTGTAAACACACTTTCTCACTTACATGGCTTTCTGATGTCATGACAAATGGGAGCTCTGGAGTTCTGCTTCCATGGTAAGCTCGATGAGAAAACCTGTTGATTTAAGGTGCTGAGGCAGACATTCTTACCTACTATTTTGCTTAAACTGTAACTCCTTCTGTAAGATAGTAATTTTCCAGCAAGGTGGATTCCTTTTAAGCTTTTCCATTGGAAGAGTCACTTCAGGTATTGTCTGCTCACCTTGCAGGTTTCTGCGTTTTTTAAATGGCTGTCATTCTTACAAGATTGCCTGAGCAGAGTGTGGGAACTTCTTAACTGTGACATGGTTCTCACTTTCCTTTCTCCTTCCTTCTATTCTTTCTCTCTTCCTTTCTGTTTCTTTCCTGTCCAGTCCCATTCAGTATTCCCAACTATCTCTTTTCTTCTCCCTGTTCTTCAGAATAGCCTTAATAGGATACTTAACTGATGTCCACCTGCTTTTGCTGTAGGTCTACAGAACAGAAAGTGCTGTGACTGCCATTCACCCAGCCTCTGGTGATTGTGGGGCAAGGAGGGGAGGAATAGCTGGGTCAGAGGTTGGGGTCACGCTATCTGTAATTATCTTTAATATGAGCATTTATTTCAGCAGGTATCAGAGCTCCCTTGAGCACAATCCCTCAAGGTGGCTTTATTGAGGCCAGTTCAGGAAGAATCATTCAGCAGTCAGATTTAGAGGCTGAAAGCTTCATCCTTAGAGAAGGACAGCTAGGGACCCTGGAATCTATACTTCCCCACAGGTAAAGGGAGCAGAAAGCACAGGAGCGCTTAAAGGCAGGAGTAATAACAACGATGCTGTGGGTCTAGCTTTGTCCTGATCCTCTTGCTGAAGGGGATTGCAGAAAGAATGTGGTGATGCATCTTGTTCCAGGGGCCTGACTCTCTCCTTATGTCTATCACATTTTGCAGATATTTATATCTGTGTGCTGGAAATGGGAAATGCTGTATAAGTGTGTGTGTGTTTTATGGTGTAGCACAAAGGAGATTCAGGACCAGCCTCATCAGAAAAGATATAAACCCTTCTCTTTAAAGCAGGTTTAGCTTCTAAGCTATTTGCCTGTTTTTCTTTTTGGCAGAAAATCATAACCTGCATTGATCCAGTGAGAGCTGATGCTGTGGGCTGGGTTGGTAAAGCCCGTACTTTATCTTAAAATAGTTTTGGTAGCTTCATAACCTCATGACAAGATTATTCCATAGTGCAAGCTTTCCAAACTGGAAGGCAGAAAGACAGGCACTGTTCTGTCTTTGTTTTCCACCTCTAACAAATGTTTTAGAGTGCAGGTTTCTCTGGTACTTGAGATAAATTACAGAATGCAGAACAACAAAAATCCATGCCATCTTCCGTATGTTATACAACTTCTGTAATGTTACATAAAAACAAACACTGCCAAGCAGACTTTATGAGGTTCGTTTAATTTACTGATCTGCAAGACAGAAGAGGAGCAGCAGCCCCATTTCATAACCCTTCTGCTTGACACTGTCCAGCATTTGTGCTAGCATGGCAGTGTCAATAATATGTCAGGGGTAGGTAGAAGCAGTTTTATTCCCACTTTATAGATGAAGAAGCAGAGGCATGGAGATGCTTTGTGGCTTGTCAAGCAACAAGAGAAGGCAGTGATTCACTGGAGATAAAGATCAGTGGGTTTTTGCCTCTCAGTTCCCTGCTATAAACATTTCTGCCTTTTACTTGGTGCATACATTCGTGTCAGACTCCTCGCTCTGAACTGCTGAGGAGAACCCAGGTCTGGGCATTGTGAACCCACCTCAGTCTGGTTTAGGATTTGCAGTTTTAAACAGTGGCTAAAGATCATGAAAGATCAGTGAGGCTTGCTGGCAATGTTTTGGCTGGATTTAAAATTGCATGTTCTGACTCTAGAGTGAGCTCATGTTTATTTTTAAAATATGTTCCACCAGTAGAAGAAATCTATGGTGAATGTCTCCTTGTTGGGTATGTCAGTTGTGCCAGGAATCCATACACCCTTTATCGTATTCCTGGCAGGGGCAGGACTTGCTGCTTCGTTGACACCTTCTGGTGAGGATATAGTTGTTTGAACTATATTCATAAACCCTGTTTAGTGGCCTGTTCCAGCTCCCCCCCAATACCTTGAACTCCCCAAAATACTATGAATGCTGTGGAACATTGATCTCTTTAGAAATGAGTGATGCTGTAATTTCATCATCTAGGCCATTTTGCAATTTCTCTCCTGAGAGCCAGGAGACTTCGCATGGGTAGTCTTGGGTGAAATCACTGCTCGGTGAATGGCAGTGAATGAGGATCACCTTTGTTATCAGAGTTACTGGATTAGGAGGAAGTATTGTGTCACCAGAGTCATCTTTAGCAATAAAGTTGCAATGAGCATCACTCATCTGGGGACTTAGAAAGGAGTCAGCAGCTTAAACTGTAAGGCCAGTGAGTGTTGCTGTCCTGGAAAGACAGGGCAGTGAAGTTATCCCTGCTTTACAGATAAGAGTAAAGCACAGAGAATGACACTGTTCAGCCAGGGTCACCCACCTGGAGCGGACTTAGTGTTATGCTCTCACTTCCATGCCAGCACCTGTGGCTCTCTGCTTTGTAAGTACGGGGGTAGAGCTACAAGTCAGCCAAAGGACTCTTAATCTGCTTGTCTCATTTTTAAAAGTGCTCACCTGGAAAGGACTTGTCCTGAAAGCTTATTAGAACAATTCGTGTTGATTTCTTTCATGGGCTTTTTACAGTCGGTCCTACGCAATTGGGCTGTATCCAAACCTCTTATGATCTACAGGGCTGTGAGGTGGGAGTGTGAGGGGGAATGAGGCTGGAAGCTGACTCTCTCCATCTGCTCCTGCTGCCTGTCAGAAGAGTTTGATCCAGCTAGCGAGCTGGAAGTCCCCGTGGGACACCAAACAGATGCTCGCCTTTACAGATAGTGGTGTTGTATCCTCTTCACTCCTCGAGCTGGGACAGGTGGAATGTAGCCCAGCTAATGGTTCATGCAGAATATAACTCTCTCATGCCTCCCATTTCAAACAGAAAAGCACACTGAACTCTATGGAGCAAGACAGACTGCATTTATGAGCCAGCATATTGATTTAGAAAACATCAGTGCTAAGATGTTTGTTGCAGCTTATCACTTCTGCCTGCATTTTTGAGATTTCCAGCTCAGAGTGCTAGGAATCCTCCTGCTGTTAGGCTCTCCCCTCTGGATAACCCAGCACCCCGACACTGGCAGGCAGCAAGTTCAAAATGCGCAAAAGGAGGCTACTTTTTGGCATGTTGGGTAATTAAATCATCTTGTTGCTAAGGGCATTGTGCATTTCAGTGTAAGTGGGCTATGAAAAAGGATGAAACAAATTCTTGAGCGGGCAGGGGGTTGAGTCCATTTGTTGTTAGTACGGTTGCCTGAATGCAGCCTCCAGCAGAGGAGTCCCAGGACTGATCCAAGGAAGAACAACTTGACGCTTGCCCTGTTCCTTAGGCTTTTTTCCTATGCTCTATTAGTTGGCACCTTTGGTCAGGGCCTGTATGACCATTCATACCCAGGGCTATTCTGGGAATGGTATGGGCAGTGTTGTTATAGATACTTCTGAGTTGGTGATGAAGGGAGAGAACATCCCATCATCAAGTACACAGTGTCTCCTACTTGACCCAGTGCCCACGGACTGACCTCTTCCAAGAGGTTGGCAGAGCCCCCAAGGGAGGTGTGGATGGGGAAGCCATGTCCCCAGACTTTTCACTGGTGGCCTTGAAAAGCTATAGTAGAATTGTAGCCAATGTTGTGGCTGTGTCTAAAGCCACATGTTTATCTGTTTTGACTCTTAAGGTCTGTGTTTTTAAAATATGTTCCAGGAGAGAGACATTTTGGTAGACATCTCCTTGTTTATGGAGAGTGTTCTAGGGGCATAAGGAAAGTTCAAATGGAGATGTCATTCCTGTAGGCTGCTCCTGGTCAGGCTAGTCCTCTCGGTGCAGAATCTGTATTTTCAGGCCATAACTATTTGGAGAAAATGGGGCAGGTTTGTAGACAACTTAACAGAACTCTGCTGAATTAATAGTCTTGCCAGCAACCCCTCTTGTCCTGCTGCAAAACCTTGCAGTAAGTGGCAAATACAGCATAAATACAAATGCATTTGTATATCATATTTTCTTCCAGCTCCTGTCCGCCTGTGTTTGGCAAACCTCAGCGCCCACCTGTTCCTGCACCCTGCAGGGAAGAAAGCCAAGCCCTGGGACAAAGCCAGGTAAGAGAATGCACCTGATGTTCAGAGCAGGGAGCTTAGCCCTGTGCACTCTATCCAGCTGTGGTTCTCACACAGGAGATGTGAAATCTCACATTGTATTTAGCGTGAAACTTGTTTGATCGAAGCATTCCTTTTGGAATCCAGTTCAGACCAAGCTAGGCATTCCCTGGGTAGCATCTAAGAGAATACTAAGAGAAGTGTTTTTGTTGTTATATCCACTTGGATTGCTTATCAGACCCTAATTTTACTAAACATGATTGAAATGTTAGCCAAAGCAACCTGTGCAAATCCAAAGTGTCATTTCAATTTTGAGCAATGGAGGGCTCGCCTAGCATTGTGGAAAGAAGGTGACAGGAAGATGGCTGCTTGAGGGCCCTCCCCTGAGGGGTTCTGCAGAATTTAACTCTGCTTTCTTAGACCTCTCCAAGTTTTTAATGTAATTTTCATTTCCAAGTCTGTGTTACTGATGAGGAAAAGGGATTTTTGCACTGTTCCGAGGTGGCCGATAGCAGTGTACAGAGCAGCGTTGTTACAGGACATGATAAAACATGAGCAGGATGCAGTCTGTGTGCCTTCTTAGGGTGACTGTAAGGCAGTAGAGAACAGAAGTTAGAAATCTGGTGCTTTCAAGGGGATGGTAGCCCATCTTTGAATTAAATGTTACTTTAAAATAGGACCCAAAAAA